CAAGTGTAGTATCACTGAATGCTCATGCCATTGTACGTCATGCAGTTCCAAAGCCCTTCTCATAGAGTCCCTACCAGACCCAGGTACTAGCTCACTGATCCTGAAAGCACCAAAAATTGCTATCAAGAATGCTGCCCTGAACAAGGCCACCTCCTGTCTACTATGACTACGGTGCCAAGGATCTGCACGAGATCCCTGAGCATGTAAACTGTGATGAGATGATGGGAATCCACCCTGGGGCCAACGGTATGCAAACCAAGCCAAACCCCATCAAACTAAAAAACCATTGCAAGGATCAGGAATAACCATTTAGCCTACTGACAAATGTAATGGCAGAAAGGCAATTCAAGATTGTGGAGGATGCCAGTTGACAGGTTGCCAAGGACAGCATGTACCGCAGCACCTGTTCCTCTCTAATGGGCCATATTGTGACCGGCCTTCCTGATCCTGAAATTGCATGAAATCATTAAAACTTCTCTCATAGCTCTGCCACGTGCATGGAGCAACCAATCTCCACACCACAGTGACAACCATTCTACGTCCAGGTTCCATAGCACTAGTGGCATCTGCCTGGGTTCCCAGCTGGCTTCTGGTGCCAGCTCCAGAAATCTGTAGACCTGAAAATGAGACAAGGCGTCTGCTATGCCATTATCAACCCCAGAGAGGTTATGAAGCAATGTAAATTTCCTGGAGCCCTTTGCACTGCTTTGAAGCTCACCCCTTGAACCGGCTTGCATTGTGTCACCCACGCCCCATTCATACAGGGCCTAACCTGGAGGTGGCATTTGTTCTACCCTGCGTCCTATTGCACCATTGTGGCAGGAAAGTGCTGTATGAGAACCAAAACATGTTTTGCAAGCATGCCTGAATGTACAGACGCTGCAAAAAACAACTGCTATGATTAAATGCATGCCCTTAAATGTATTTTATACCTGCATAGCTAAAGAAGGCAGCCTTAGCAAGGGCTGTCCCCAGCCACTGGAAGAACTTTAAGTTAGGCTGTAGCAGCTGTGCAATATCATGCATCTGCTTACTGGGGTGTGTCCCCCCCAGATGAGCTGAGACAGTTTCTGACCAGCCCATTTGATACCCCGTCATGTCCCTACCCCTGTGGGGTTTTTTCTTTTCCTTTTTTATGCCTCAGAAGAACCACTAGTGCCCGCAATCCACACCGTAACAGAAAGCACATCTGACTTCATTGTTTGCTATGAGAGGAAAATTAGTAAAACATTTTTCATTCATTGGCCATTTGTCTCTTTAGTCCTTAACTGAAATCCATTTACCATTGTCGCTGTGTTACCAGTAATGTACAGTGGTAAAGGCAGGCTGTCATCTTAACAAAGACAATTCCATGATTCATATTACTGAAGATTAATACAGCAAATTGCACATCATCTTGCTTTGTATGTATGTGCATAGATAGATAAATACACATTAGGACCTGCTTACAATGAATTGTGATATAGTGAAACTCTGTATAGTGAAGTGGAGAGAAATGCCTAGTGTATTTTATCGCACTGCACTACACACAGATTGCTATTTCTATTATAGTGAAATTCTGCTTAGGGTTAAAATATTCTGTGAAATAAAAACTTCCTCTCTGTAGGTGAGGATGTGGGCATACTGTATATACTCTGACACATACTTTAGGAGGAGCAAGAAGGTGATGACAATTAATCTTCTGGAAGATGCGTTTTTTGTGTGTGAGTGAGAGTAAGGATATGTTTTATTTTTGGGGGGTGGGGGTTGATACGGTGGCCAAAACATTTTTATTGTTATTAAAAGGTTGAAATTTTTATTCCACCATAGCATGAGCTGGTTTGTTGCTATGGGCTTGCTTGGGGAAGCTGAGTATTTGTTTATTTACAATATTTTTTTTTAAATAAAAGAGTCATAGAGGTATTCGGATTTTGTGGTACAGAATTATACAAATAATTATATTTACTTTGTAAACCAAAATATATGAGGGAAAGAAAACAGAGTAGACTTTGGCCTGCTTAACTTGACAGTGTAATAGTTTATTCACAGGTTACTAATTTGTGCTGGTCCCTATGTATATTTCACTAGGGCTATGCATGTGCTCCATTGTTCCACACCTACACACTTGCTCTTCTTGTGGTAGGTGCCAAAAGTGTAAGCGGTAGTGCGCACCAACGCCTCTCCAGTTCCTTCTTACCACTGCCTGGCCTGAGTTGGAATCTCCGGTGTCCGGAACTGATCCTCCTTCTATTTGAGTACTGCTTGTCAGACACCCACAGTAGAATACACATAAGGAGTGGCACGCAAAGAAAAAAATGAAGTTATTGATTCTTCGTAACTGGAGTTCTTGTATTCCTGCCTTGTATTCCACTACCCACCCTCCTTCCCCTCTGCTTTGGACCTCTCTGATTCGTGGTAAGAGGAGGAACTAGAGAGGCGTCAGTCCGCACCACCCCTTATACTCCCAGCACAGAGCACAAGGAGAGCAAGGGCGCAGGCACTGACCAATGGACACTAGAATTCTCTGATCTCAGGCATATGGAGTGAATGCATACCCACCGTGCCATAAAGATAGAGACCCCGCATTTTGAAATACTCGTTACGAAGGGTAAGTAGCTTCCCTTTTTTGAGAGGGCTTGAACGTGTATGAAACAGTATTTGGAATGTGTATTTCATTTTGAAGAGTAAATACTATTTCTCTTTCTTAAAACAAGTGCCGTAGAGCACTCTGTGAAAAATATTTCATTATTTATAGCCGTACCATACTGTACCTGCCCAAAGACACTGACAGTCTGGGAGAGGTATGTTCCATGTTCTCTGCGAAAGAAGGTAATTTTAGTGACACCTCACTCCTGATCATCTGACTCATAACTATCCTGGGCTGCGTTTTCAGTGCAATGCCTAGAGAAATAGCCAAAGTTTTATGTATTTGGTGCCTGCTGCAGCAGCTGTTTAATGTAATCTATGGTGTGAATATAGTAGTACCACATGAATTAAGACCCAATTTCGCACTCAGTTACAGGATTGTAACTCCTATTGACTTTGAGGGCTGAATTGGGCCAACTGTATGTCATTTTAATGGTGGAGAATATCTACTAAACTTTTCTGGAACTTTTTTGCTGATTTTACTGATGTTGTATTAAACAATTACTGCAATGCTATTTAATGTATTTCTTTAGTACTGTCCTAAGTCTTGCTTTTAAAACTATATATATACACATACATATACGAAGAGAGAAGTAAGAATGCATTGCTTTGGGGTTATTTACATCTGAAACACTCTTTTTAATAACTCACACCTGAGGGGGGACACAAAAAACATGTGGTTAATACATACAATGTATTGATGATGTACTAAAGAGCTCTATTTTCTCTGCCAAAAAAGCTCTGCATATCATTACCAGGAATTGGAAGTGTCACAGATTCCAAAGCAATAAATGCATATCAAACGCCATCTGATAACTGCATTTTGCTTTTAATTAAAAGGTCTGTTTAAACATGTTTGGCCAATTTCACTGCTGACATACACATTTCCAATCTAGGCGTGCAACTTGTTTGTGTCAGCAGCAAATTTGGCACATTTTCTAAAGTTCTGAAGGAATGTCACTCCTGCACATAACTCTCATGTGTGAAGAATCAGAAATGTGTTTCTGCAGCACTTTCTGAAGGTATACAAAGTGAGAGTTTAATCACCAAAGGGGTAAAAGTGTTACATCCTGGATACATTTACACACAAGACAATCAGAGACTTCCACTAAAGGTTTTTGGCACCAACTCTTACCTTCCAGCAGATGTTTTCTAAAGGTAGTTTGCCATACTTAAGTTGTTTATGATATAAAGAACCATTATTATAACAGAAGTGTGAACATGTCTTTATTTAACATGTGTAATCCTAGTTTCTTGTGACTAAACCAACCTTAGCAACAATTTTGCAACAGAAGAGAAGGGAGGTTGATTTTTTTCTCACTTCAGTTACGTTGATACATAGTGTTCAGCGTGATTATAATTACTCTATCATGGCTAGAATCAGATTTGGCAATCCAGTGGTGGAATATTAAATGTGTTTGCAGCATAACAGCTGAGTTTTAAACATTGCTAGGAAGGAATTTGATATGTGATCATTTCCAGAGCACAAAGTATAGTGTATAATCTATTGTTTAAGTTTCTAAAGGTAAATGATTCTCTTTTCCCAACAGTTCATTATTTACATCCCTTGTGATTTCTTTATTTTAAATACTTTTGATACATCACTTGAAAACCTAGAAACTAATTGATCATGAAAAATAGAATGTGAAACTAACATCATTATACGAGACAGAGTACTGTACACTTTCTGTGGAATCTTCAGTTCCTGGGCATTGAACAGTTGCTGAATTGTTGATCAAATTCCACTGTAATGATGGACCTCACTTATTAAAGACGACAGGGGCAGATTTAGTCCATTATGTCTAGCATATATTGTAGAAGATGATCCGGCATTTTGGGCTGACGTCCCATCTGATCTTACCACATCAGCACATTTGGGCCACGTTGGTACTTGCATCAGAGCATTACATTTGGATGGGAATCTTCCAAGCAACACTTAGGTGTGGTAAAAATGCTGTAGATAATTCTGACTGTGGCATTCTTCCTTTTGGGGAGAGTTTTGTGAATTATTAACAATGAAATTCAGAAACAACAAAATTTAGCATTTTGTTTCAAATTCATGAAAGTGGACCAATTTTGGCAGCTTTTCATTTGAAAATAGGATAGAAATCAAAATGTGGACGGGATCTAAACTCTGATGCTTCTGGGCATGCATTAATCTTTAAGGGAGGAGGGGTTGAATTTTTTTTCTTCAGTTATTCTAAACTGCCTACACTTACTTGCACCTTCCATTGAATTATCTGGTACTGACTTTATCAGAGACAGGATATTGTATAAGGGGGATGACTGGTGTGATCAAGTGTATCATTTCTTATGTTCCTATAGACACAGAGGATAAGAGTAACTCTGAGAAAAATTCTCTCTTTTAATTTTAGGCCCTCAGAAGTTGTACCAACCAGAATCCACTCTCAACTACCTTGGGCATGTGCCTGCTTTGATGTCACAGATAACAGGAAAGGGACCGTGCTGCAGCATAGATCTGGAGGTTAGCGGCAAACAACCGGGAAACTGATTTTTCATTAAAAACAGACTTTTCTACTTTATGAAAGGTAAGGCATTCTTTAAAAAAATATTTTTAAAATAAATAGTTGATTGTTCACATTTTGATCAATGTTCATATTTTTGATAGAATAGAGAATCAAACCAAGTACAGTCCTGCAGAGTACAGTTAGCTTCAATATGCTGGTGTAGTCTAAATTTCTGTAAAGCTTTGAAGTCCATTAATGTTGCAATCTCTTTTTAATTTGGTACTGTGCACCACTCTTCTCAGGCTACTTGCTTTCAAATCTACATTCTTTCATTTCCATTTTTCAGTTACAACATCCTTCTTGTTAAACCTGCATTACACAGCTTGTCAGGAAGAAGATTCTTGTGTTAGAGATCAATTGAATAATGTCTACTGTTTGAGGCGTCTCTTGTTGTTTTGTCTGTAGCGTTAACAATCGTATATTGATTGATTGGAACAGTATGTATGCAAATAATACAAGTCCCAAGGCATGCTTAGTCCTTGCATATTCACAGTTTAAATATGGGTTGCAGGCTCTTAATCTGTTTCAAAAGCCTTGGCTTTTTAACATGGTATCTATTTGTTATATAATTCTGTGAGTACTTAAATCTGTTATTATTTTGTGTCTCATGCTAGCTTGTATCTGCTTATTTCACTCAGCACTTAAGAGTTGCTTAGTTTGCGTTGAAGGAAAACTAACAGCATAATATATTTAAGGTGGAAATTTGACGCCAAACTTTTCATATATACTGGGGGTAAACTTGGATCCCTAGTCGTACTTTTCAGAGAGATTGTATCAATGTATATACAAACAATTTCTAACGTGAAAAGGATGCTGTACGATGAAACATCGGTTCTCATCATATTTTTTTTTATTTCCAGTATTCTAAAGACTATGATGAGACAAAATCCGTTCTCTTAGTTTAGTGACTAGAGCAGGGAGCTTGGAGTCAGAACTCCCCATTACATGATCTTGGGTGAGTCATTTGAACAACTCTCTGAACCTCATTTGCCATTCTGTAGAATTGGTATAACAATACCTATCTCACAGAGATACTGTGAAGCATAGTTAATGTGCAAAAGCTTTGTGATCCACACATGAAAGGTGCAGTGTGTGTAGTATTGCAGTACTAACTAGGCTGGGCTGATTTAACATAGAATACTATGGTACTGACAGTCATAGGAGCAAAGTTTGGCTTCCAGGATTTATAGACTGACTAATCCTTGAGGCCAGAAAAACCTCTTTGGCTGTCCCTTTGTTGTCCTCCTTGTGTGGCCACTCTCCATGACAGTCCCACAGGGCCCTGTTCTTGGCCCACTCTTTTTCAATCTCTACAGACTTTCTCTAGGGGATAGTGTGTACTCATGTTGCTTCAGTTACCATCTTACACTAGTGACTAAAAAATCTAAACCTCTCCACTGCTGATCTGTCCTCCTCCATACAATCCATTCTTCTTACATCTCCTTCTGGAGGTCTCCTTGTCAACTAAAATTTGACATGGCTTAACTGAACTCTCTCCCTTCATCTAAAACCCTCCTGGCTTCCCCATTTTGTCTGTCAGTATCGACAGCGCCACCATCCTCCCTGACAAAAAGCACCATAGACTGTGACTCATCTTTCACTCCTACCTTTTTTTGCCCACACAGACATGTTGTGTGGAAATCTTGCCACTCCTTCCTCATGACATTTCTCAGATCCAATCTTTGCTCTCTTTCAACATCTAAAACTCTCTTGAGTACTGAGGTTACTCCTCATTGTCCTCAGTCCTGATCAGGCCATTGGACTCTACCACAGTAGTACAAATAATAAAGAAAGAATTCACATTAACCACTACATCTTACCACTACCATGTGTAAAAAAAAAACCTAAGGGGCAGATTGTATCTCGTGTATTAGAAGGGGGAGGGTGGAGGACACACCGCATGTCCCCTTCTCACCTGATCTGTGCCCCAGGGCAGGGACCAGACACAATTCTAGTCCTTATGCTCACAGTGTGTAAAGGTTGCTCAGAGCTAGTACTGACTGTTGCAATAGCCTCCTCAAAGAAGGTTTCTGCCACTCCAGCCCATTAACCAGTAGAGCTGGCCTCACTTGAGAGGACACATTCTTTATGCTGTGCAAAGGTGTTCACATGTTGTACCCTGCTCCCTTAGAGCCTCTGAAGGCATCATGCCTACCTTAGCACAGTGCGTCCTGGAACTGCCAAAGGGTGCAAGGTATCTCAGCATCCCCCATACTATGGGATGTGCCAAGCAACCCCCTCACACATACACATATGTGCTGGTCTCTGGGGTAAACTTACTTTGTCAAATATACTGTACATCCTTCCTGACCTTCTCAAATGCATGCAAATGGAGAGTGATTCCAGACCAGTATAAATAACGGGCTCAACTCTTACCCTCCATGGCCTTGCTCCAGGTATCTTGTCTGTCTTCTTTCTCCTCCTTTTTTGCACCATTCCTCTAGCACTGGTCTCTCTTCTGTGCCATGGAATGTCACCACTGTTGGTACAAGAGGCATGTCCTCTGCAACAGCTGCCCTCCATCTAACTGCCTCATTGATTCTTTCTGTCTGTTCAAGTCTCTGAAAACATGTTTTCTTTCTTGCCCGTCATTTCTTAATTTCTCTGTCCCTCTGGGTAAAATTCACTCTTGTGCAGAGAGTCAGCCTTACATATGTCCCATTTTGTTGTGTAAGATACTGGAGAATCTAACAACTAAACCCGAGGCAAAAACTGACCTATAGTAATCCTATATAGTCCCTTTAAAGCACAGCAGTACCAAAAGGGTTTCAGCAGAAAAGAGGTTAAAAGAGAACTCCTGTGAAATTCAATATTACATTCATTTTTTTTGTTAAAACATGAGTTAATGTTTACACTGAAGGTTCTTTTCTGACTACAGGCTGAACAAGGAAGGAAACAAAACAGTTGAGTTGCCTATTTAAGGCAGCTACTTTCTCTATGGCTTTTTCTTTCCTCTGTTTAATTCCTGATACCCTAGAGATATGGTTTCCTCCTTCAGCAGAAACTCTGACCTCAAAAATAGCAAGCTCCAAAATAAACACAGCAAAAAAAAAATCAATTGTTTCACACACATGCTAAGTAACCAAAACCGTTTCCATGCTATAGCTGGAACTCATAATCCTTTTTGGAGCTGGAAATTGGGCTTTCACTTCTCTGAGATGTAAAAATATTTTGTGTTCATACTGAATGTCACTCTTTCCCAACAGATTTGTTAGAACATAGGGCCCCATTCATCAATAATTTGGCTCCACTCTTGCCACTTTTGCAGAATATCTGCAGGCCTACTTGGCACTTAGGAATGATGCTGGGCTGGCTACATTGTGAATACTGAAGGAGACCCCCTAGCATGTTCTTACTGAAGGTGAGCTCTCATCCTGCTGATAGACATAATTACAGCCTGGAGACAGCTGGAAGAGCAACAGTTTATCAAGAAGAGACTCCCAATAAAAATATATATCTATTTCCTTTTCAGTTCCTTCCCAGTGCTTTTTTCCCTTTGTTTTAAAACTTTGTGCTCTGATTCAGTGACAGAAAGGTATGAAAGAAAGAAGCAGCCCAGCATGGATTGCCCTTCTGGATTGAGTCCATGATGGTAATCCAATCCAAATGGAACTCCAGGCTGTCTCACTGCCACTGCCATTGCCTTCACTTCCATTTCCAGATGGATCAGAATTCACAGTTTATATTAAATCAATTTCCAGGAAAGAAACTTTTATCATCAAATGGTTTTAAAAGAAAAAAAAGTACATTATCTGAATGTACCCCCTCCCAGCTGAGTTTAGTTAGCAGTTATACTGTACCTTTCTGTCAGGAGCCTGCTAAAGTTATATCTAACCCAAACAGACTAAAAATACTGGGGAGAAAACATTCAGGGGTCTTAAGTCTACAAGTTAAATCCCCACTGACCAGTACTGTAAGGGAGTATTTTGGGAATTTGGCCACTGAGCTGTTGCCTTTCTGCAGCTGCATGGAAAAGTTAATTTGGCCTTGTTTACGAATATTGCTCAGTGGTCAAAAATTTCTTCTGACCTTGCATAAGAGATTGTTTTAAAGCTGAAACAGGTTCAAGAATAGCAGACTGTGGGGTCTTCAAGCATACCTCAAACCCCCGTCTCACTCACACACACAAAGCACAAAGTTAAACTCACACTGTCTCTCTCATACACACACAGCTACTCCCAAACTGACCATACCCTGGAAGTACTGAGTTCATGCTTGGGAGGTGAATTCTCTGTCTCTTCTCACATGTGTATGCCAGCTAAATTTGTGCAGCACAGAATATACTTGGGTCCTGGAATATATAATTACAAATAGAGCCTATAAAATCTTTCATTTTGATTGAAATGTATATGTTGCTTCAAGTATTTTGAAGTCTCAGAAATTAACTTTAATTCAAGAGGGAACATGAAGCATTTTTGATTCAGGCAGACAGCTCTGTGCTGTTAGCTTATGGGGAAAGAGGAACAGCTAGAGAATAGGGGAGGAAGACAGCAATTGTATACTTTTCCATCTAAGATACAACAGAGGGGTTTTTTTATTTCATCGTATTAGACGAGTCCACTGGGAATTTATTTTGAAATGAAATATACCAAACCATTTATGATTTACAAAGGGGAGGAGAAAATAAAAGCCTTAACAATATCTTGTGTTTGATCTATTTGTCACTATAAAAATATTGACAAAAGGCAAAATAATGGCATTCATTTATCTTTATTATTGTTGGCTTGCTTTAGTGCTTTCTTATTAAAGGCAAACTCCTATTTAGATGCGAAATTAACCCTTTTACTGCTGCATAGAAATGAAAAGCTAAATCTCTGTACACAAAAATCTCTTATAAATAGGATTTAAAAAAAAAAAAAACTCTAATCCAAATAATCTGTATAGGATTCCTATTCAGAAAGATGTCATGTGTCATAAGAAACTTTTTAGGGACATCAAAATATATATGGTAAAGTTTATGCAAAGTTTGATTCAAAAATATCTCTAACAAGCAACCTTCCATGTAAAATCAGAGGCATACT